GATGTTAGTATATATCTGGATGGAACCACAGGACCCAGGAAAATGGGAAATTATCATGGGGGATAAAAAGGAAGAAAGTGTTCCAGAGAGGGGCATAGTAGGTAACAGGTGTTATCAAGGGTAAATGGGGAAAATAAGGGCAGGTACTTTAACTGTGAAAAGGAGTAAGGATGGGTTATACAAGGAGGAGAAGAGAGATAAAAAATGCCTACATGGTATGAAAAACCAGAGGGAAATGTATTAGATCAAAATCCTACTGAAAATACACATAAAATAAATATATGAGTGCATGTGTATAAAGGCTATATTAAAACAAACAAAATAAACAGCAACAACAACAAAAAAAACCAGTGTGTCAGGAGAAAAATTCCCTTTGAGTTTTTGGTCAGGGCAATCCAAGAGACTCACAAAATAACACAGGCTATTGCCACAGCCCCTGACTACCTCTCAGAACTTAAAGGTAAGACCCTATTGCTGAAGTTAGGCCACACCTCCAACACAAGACTTATATCAATCAGATGGAACTGACCTGGAAGCCTCCTCACTAAAGACTAACTCTCATGGTATCAGAGGATAATATACAAGCTACCACGGAAGAAAACCAGTCAATGGTTCTATGCAGACTTAAAGCCTAAACAATAGCAATTGGCCCAGTAAACTGTTGCTGTTGGTACAGTAGCGGCATTTTTATCTTGGGGGTAATCAACAGCTGTCAAAACAGAATTAAGGCCCAATCAATGGGAAGGAACTCATATGTGGTACTATAAACAGCCAAATTCATATGGCCAGAGAGGTCATAGATCCTAGAGCAAAACTTGCTTTTGCCACATCCCTAGACAAACATAATTTCTTACTATATTCTAAAAATGCATTTTCATATTTACAGGTAGTGTGCCTTTCACCTATTATGAAAATGCTTCTTTTCCAGCAGACGTAGACAACTACAGAATTCTACAACTGGTGAAATGCAGAGAATACGTGTCTGGGAGATGCTTAACCTTCAGTGACATATATTCAATGAAGAAAATCAATCTGAAACATGATCAAACGAACTGACCATTTGCTTACCTTGCCTCCCCACTCCAGTAGGGAGATACATCTGTCTCAGAATACTCAGCCTCTAACCTAGATATCTGGTTCCTTTTCAAAAGTTATCTGGCTCCTTACCAGCCTCCTTGCTGATCTAGTTCTTGCAGATCAACCACCTTGCAGAAAATACCTGTTTTCCCTATCAGAACTCCCTATCTCTCCTTCCAAGATCTCAGGAAGGAGTATTACATCCCCAAGAAGGCATGACCCCAAGAAGGCAAGATCCCCTTTTTGGAATTTCTGGAGCCACCTATAAATCCTAGAGCTCACCCAATCCCGATGCACAACCCCCATTCCTTTGGAAGGTTACTTGTTCTTCATAGCTAATAAAGCTATCTGCATCTGTTGAGGTCAGTTTCTACTTTTTATCACATCACCTTTTCATCTGGAATTCTAACATTCAGTGCCACTGCTACATAAAGGATGAATGCATCTCTCAACTCTCACCAGAGAACTTTCCCGTATGCAGCAGATGGTTATTAACACAGAAACCCATTGGCCAATGTGCAGAGAACAAGGGGCCATAGCATGCTTATCCCTGAATAGGGCACCCATTTCAAACTTCTGCATCCTAGGTTTAGGGATCATTGCAGAAGAGGAGGCAGAAATATTTTAAGAGCCAGAGGTGGTGATGGCCACAAGGAAACAGAATCTTTGGACAGCTGGTCAGTTACTCATATGAACTCACAGTAATGGTGACAGCATGCACAATTCCTATGCAAGCTTAATCCATACAAAATCCCAGCAAAAACATGGGGAAGTGAATAAGAAATCCCAGGCCAATCAAAGGAACTTTGGGTAATTGACGGCTTCTGGTATGGGGAGAGACAGTGTCTTTCAGGGATGGGACTCTTGGTGGTCCCAGTGGATGGACCCACACTGAGGGACATTTTGGTACCAAAATGAGATGTCATACTCCATATTATATAAATGAGAGAAGTTTAAATTTGGCAGGAGACAATGGGGAAAGGTGCAGATAAGGGAGAGAATCTAAATACCTTCAAACTACACTGAATGAAAATCAGAAAAATTCAATTAAAAATAAACGTGTATACTGATTTTATTTCTGCATGAGCTTCTAATGAATAGAAACAGCAGGCCTTCATCCCTTTGCTTGCTCATGCTTTCACTTCTTTCATCATATTCATTGTATGAAAATGTTCTCATTATTTCTGTTATATAATGCTTCAAAGTCTTACATACAATCTTTTCATTTTTCCTTATTACTGAAATACTATTTAACACTCTCAGCTACTACAAATACTTAGGAATGTCTCCTGTAGAGATGAGCAAGTGTTTATTTTTTTCTTGAATCCCACCCCAGAAGCTATGCAGCAGTGCATAATACAGGTGAGTTTTACCAGGTTCCGCATGCTTCATGAGCATGTGTTCATAGTGGTTTCAATGTTAGGATGGCCAATGACTGCAAAATGGAAAACCTGAGCTGATCAGCAGAATAACTGTCAGAAATCAAGCTATGAAATGAAGTCTTATATATAGAAAGAATCAACATATTTGATGTAACTATAATCACAACTCAACCAAGATTATTAAAAAATATTTGAAAAAACAGATTCTAAGACTTCTGGTAAATGAAAATAATAAAGCGACTTACAAGGCTTCACAAACTCTCACAAAGGAAAAGATATAAAAACAATAAGTAAAAATATAACTCAGAGCAAATTCTGACTTACTCCCAGACCACAGGGCAGGAGAACTGCACAAAGAGGTTGTGTAAACATGAACTTTAAATATGTACTAGTAAAAACACAAAATTAATGAGGAAAAGACAGGTTGTTTCAGGAGCATGTGTGAGCATCGACTTAGAATAACAATGTTTTAAGTCGGGAACCTTACCTTAAGTCTGATGAAACATTCTCTAGATATTAAATGCAATGAAAGAAACAAAATTATAGAGACATTAGGAGAATATGGCAGAATATATTTTTAACGGCTTCAGGGAATAAAGTTTTAAACAAGAAAAAACTGACAGAGAATATCAATGTTAAGAATTTCTGTTTAAAATACCTAATCTTGCCAGTCATGGTGAAACATGACCATAATTTCAGCAATTTGGAAGGTGGAGGCAGGAAGATCAACACTGAAAAGTATGAAAACAGCACAAGTTACTTGAGATCCTTCCTCACTGCCTCCCAGTCTTATACTGTCATTCATCATTTCACTTTAATTAAAATTCATATGGAGTCACAAAGGACCCTGAATAGCCAAAGAAATCTTGAGTAAAAAGAGCAATGCTGGGGGCACCACCATGCATGATATCAAAATGTATTTCAGAGCTATAGTCATAAAACATGGAATATAATTGAAGACCCAAACATAAGTACATTTCAGCCACCTGATATTTGACAAAAATGCCAAGAACACACACAGGAGAAAAGACAGCATCTTCAACAAATGGTGCTGCCCAAACTAGATCTCCATATACAGAAGAATGAAATTAGATCCTTAGTTTTCACCCTGCACAAAAGTCAATTCCAAATGGATCAAAGATCTCAGTATGAAACCTGAAACTCTGAAACTATTAGAAGAAAAAGTTGGGAAAAACCTACAAGATATAGGTGTAGGAAAGGACTTTCTAAACCGGACACCAATAGCCCATGAAATTGGACCCTTATCTGTTGCCCTGCACAAAAGTCAATTCCAAATGGATCAAAGGCCTCGTTATGAAACGTGAAACTCTGAAACTGCTAGAAGAAAACATAGGCAGTACCCTACAAGATATAAATGTAGGAAAGGACTTTCTAAATCAGACATGAGTTCTCAGGCATTAAGTTCAAAAAGTTATTGTACTGCAAAAGAAACAATCAAGGAAGTAAAGAGGAAATGGAGGAAACGCATTGAGTGGGCTTTCATAAGTTTTCATCTTACACACCAATCATCAAGCAAAGGGATACTAAGAAAGTAATTTATCATGTGAAGTAATAATGGGCATAGTGAGTTCTAGAACAACCTCTACTAATGTTTATCATTTTGCCTGATTTTTTAGCATTCCAGGTAAAATGCATGTAATTTCTTTTTTTTAAGCCATATTTCAAGGTTGGAAAGATGGTTTAGTGGTTAAGAGCACAGGCTACTCTTTCAGAGGACCCTAGCTCTCTTCCCAGAACCCACATGGCTGCTAACAACCATCAGTAAGTCCTGTTCCAAAAGAATCTGATGCTCTCTTCCGACCCCTGCAGGCATTACATGACACAGGTGTACTTACATACATGTAGGCAATACACTCACATGCATAAAATAAAAATAATAAAATATTTATAAACCATATTTCAAGAGATGCTAAATACTCAGAAATATTTATCATATGGTCTAACTATATTGTCTTATGCTATCCAGAACAGTAGTATTCAGATTACAATTACCTAAGATGAGTTAAAATAAAATGTTCAGTCCTCAGTTTAAGTGGTCATCTGTGCCTAGACTTGGCATAGATTAATAAAGTATGATCCTTATGGTTACAAAAATGTTTATTGAACTCACAACATGAACCTATCTTCCAAATTAATGGGAAAGACTTATCCACTGAATTTTTTAAGTTTTTTAAATTTATGTGTACATGTGTGTGCCCACTTCTTTGTATGTGTACCACATGTGTGAAGGTACCCGCAGAGCCCAGAAGGGAATGTCAGACCTCTTGGAACTGGAGTTGCAGGTCATGAGCTTCCTGATTTGGGTGATGGGAGCCAAACCTGGGTCCTCTGTAGAAGCAGCAAATGTTCTTACCTACCGAGCCCTTTCTCCAATCCATGAGGCACAGAGTTTTAAATATAGTGCTGATTATTTTCCTCTTCCATTCTGCATTTGGGTTACTTAATGAGCACATTCTATCCTGTTGTAGAATTAATGGCTTACTTTCTTTTCTCTTTATGGTTGTAAAACTAATGTCTTACTTTCTTCTGTTGGCAAGCGTTTCTTCACCGTTCCTTGCAGACATCTTCATTCCATGCTTTTCTTGGCTTGGATCAAAGGTACAACGAGGGCTTTGTGTGGGTATTCTCACTGGATGGCCACAAATCTTATTCACCTTTTTAAAAAGAAAACATTAAAAGGCAGTTACAAACAGCTCCAGTTTTTCTGAAGAGGCAATATTTTACAAGTAATAAACAATGACATGTTCTTGCTTATACTTCAAAATTAAGTGAATATCTGTAATGCCTGTCCATTTTTAACAAAGGGAATCAAATTATCTAAATGCTATAACAATGATGATAAACCAATGTCATATGCATTTATACAGACTGTAATGCACATGGACAATGTATGCAATATCAGAGAAGGATAGTAATAAACTCACCTTCTATCTATGTGCCCATAGATATATTAGTCACAGTTTATTTTTGTATTTGATTAATTATATGCTTGACCCAATTTTAAGATAAAATAATTTGTGGCTGAATATGCATTAAATTTTTGAATGAATACTAAGGCTAAAACCAAATATCTTTGTGACTTTCTTCATCAGGTACTTTCTGAGACATGACCTGAGTTTGTTATTGTCTGCACATAGTACTGGAATTGAAGATATGGCCTCATGCATGCTAGGCTCCATGCTAAGCACTTTAACACGAGCTAAATCCCCAGTCTAATATTTACTTTTTATTTTGAAGCAGTGTCTCACTAAGTTACCCAGGCTGGCCTGAAACTTGTGTTAGCCTCCCGAGTAACTAGGATAGTTGATATGTACTATTATGTCTGACTGATAATAAAAATATATATTCTATAATACTATACAATCTTGGGAGCTAGAGAGATGGTTCAATGGTTAAGAACACTTGTTGATCTTCCAGACGACCCAAGTTCAATTCCTAGATCCCATGTAAGGTGGCTCACAACTTCCTATAAGTCCAGTTTCAAGTGATCCAACACTCACTTCTGGCCTCTGTGGGTGCATGCATGTATGTGGCATAAATGCATACAGACTTACACATATACAAATGGATAAAAATTAAAATTTAAGACACATATTATAAAATCTTATATTAAAATTCTCAGCATCTTCTTCTTTAAGCTGATGTTATTTCAAGGATGTTATGGTTTTTAAAATATGAAAAGAATGGGGCTAGAGAAATAGCTAAGAGGTTAAGAGCACTGTTGCTTTTGTAGAGGGTCTGGCTTTGATTCTCAGCATTCACATGGCAGCTAACAACCATCAGCAACTCCAGTAGAAGGGGATACAACTCCATCTTCTGATCTCCGTGGGTACTGCACAACATGGGTACACTTACACATATGTGGGCAATATACTCAAAGACATAAAATAAAAATAATAGAATTTAAAAATTGTCTTAGTTTGTGTCTTCATTGCTGTGATAAAATACTCTGACCAATACCAACTTGGGGAGGAAAGGGTTTATTCAGCTTACATCTCCCAGGTCACAGTTCATCAGGGAGTCCAAGGTAGGAACTTAGGGCAGAAACCTGGGGGCAGGAGCTGGAGCACAAGCCATGGAGGAATGCTGCTTACTGGCTTGCTCCCCTGGCCCCTGCTCAGCCTGCCTTCTTATGCAGCACAGGCCCAACAGCTCAGGGGTGGCACCACCCACAGTAGGCTGGGCCCTCCCACATCAAAAAGATGCCCCTCAGACATGGCCACAGGCCAGTCCAATAGCGGCAATTCCCTGATTGAGGCTCTCTCAACCCAGGTGTGTCAAGTTGACACTAAAGCTATCTAGCACAAAAATATGTGAAAGGAAAATTCATTGAGTTTTAGATAATTATCTAGCAAATATAATTTGTATAGTTTATGTAATTATCTGTGTACAAACTAACTTATATAATATGAAATAAATTTGCCTAATAACTCGAAAATGTGCAATGGCATATCGTATATTTAAAAACATATAAAAATATTATCTCAGAATCAGGAAGTTTTGCTTCTTATGCAATTTTTCTTAGTAGTGAGACCTTGAAAATATGACCAAACCCCTTAAAGTGATCTAGTATATCACATAGAAAGGATAGATTATTTCAAAGATCTCATAAAATCCTCAGTTTCCTTGATTTTTCCCTATTATGGATATTAAAGGAATTGTGTGCATATTTACTCATTTTTTCCATATTATTTTACTTCTAATATTCATAAAGCTCCTGCACTAAATGTTACAAGAGTTAAAGATCGTAAAATTTCTCAAAAGAGAGCTTACAAGTTGGAAGAACAATCCTCCTAGTCATCAAAAGGCAAACTGTGTGTATTAAGGAAGTGGGCCTAGGGATGATGGTGTGTCCTGTGTGTTAGAGAAAGGTGGAATTCTCCAAGGGTAGTGGGAACATAGAAACAGAGGCACATCAGGAGATTACTCAGTTGTCATAATATATGAGATTTTGAGCATCTGTTTGGCCAGGATATGCTAAGATGTATTTCTATGTGGTTATATTGGAAATAAGTGTTTATTAAATATCATTATGTTAACTGATGGAGATGCATATATGCACACAGTTCAAATGAATCCACATATGCCAAACAGCCACTGTAATTTTCCATGACAAGAATACCTAAAGGACTGCATTAAGGCAAAGAACACTGGGACAGTCATACAGAAAATGGGCAGATGAGGTGAATTTGAGGTACTCAGGGCAATGTTTCAGGATGTTGTGTCCAAAAACCAAGTCAAAGGATGAACTATGAGCTTGCAAGGGAGAAAAAGAAGGCACAAATACTTCCTAAAAAACTAAACTGGCATAGAGGAATGCGACATTTTACCAGGCACATGTTGTTTTATGCAAAAGTCCATAGCATGAGAAAGTTGCACAGCAAGAGACAGGACTTCTATAGAAGACAAGATGATGCTTTAAGATTTGGATACTAAACCAAAAACTTCTAAGAAAACATTATCAAGCCAGAAAATAATATTTTAAATGATCACAAGAAAAAGGATCATGGTCAAGATGTAAAAGACAGAGAACAGGCCTATGATGGAAAGTTAGGATCTTGAGTCAAGGGCAGTCTACTGGATAGCTTTAGTGTCCAGTTGACACACCTGGGTTGAGGGAGCTTCAGTTGGGGAATTGCCTCCATTGGACTGGCCTGTGGCCATGTCTGTGGGGTATTTTCTTGATTGTTAAGTGATGTGGGAGGGCCCAGCCCACTGTGGGTAGTGTCACTCCTGGGCAGGTGGGCCTGTGTTGGATAAGAACAGACTGAGCAGGGGCCAGGGGAGCAAGCCAGTAAGCAGCATTCCTCCAAGGCCTGTGCTCCAACTCCTGCTTCCAGATTCCTGTCCTGAGTTCCTACTTTGGGCTTCCTGATGAATTGTGACCCAGGAGATGTAAGCTGAATAAACCCTTTCCTCCCCAAGTTGGTAGTGGTCAGAGTGTTTTGCCACAGCAATGGAGAAACAAACTAGGACAGAAGTTGGTACCAGAGAGTGGGATATTGCTGTGACAGACCTGACCTTGGTATTTTTGGGAGATTTGTGGAAGTGTTCCAAACTTTAGGCTGGAAAAGCCATTGCGTGCTTAGAGTTTCTTGCTGTGGAGCTTGCAACAGTTATGTTGAAAAAGTTGTGGATAATGGAGGCCTGGCTTGTGAAGCTTCACAGGGAAGTGGAAACTATCAGGGCTGTTCATGTTAGATTTTGAATTGAGAATTTCTGGGTTCTGGTCATCTGGGGCTAAAGAATCAGCTGTGATTAAGAAGAGACCAGAACCCGAAGTAAAACCTTTGCTTTTTTGGGACAATTGATGCTGGTTATCTGGGGCTGAAAATCAGCCATAAGTAACAAGATACCAGCATTATTATGGTGAAGTCTTCTGGGAGGTATTTCCTCAGGGTCAGCACACAGGGAACCTGAGCCTCATCTCAAGCTGGAAGCAAGACTTGGTAATGTGTAAGAGTGTCCTGCATGGTTCTGGTGTTGAACACTTGAAGGGCTCACAGAGAGCAGCTGAGGCTTGGCACTCTGAGAGGCCAGGAAAGGCCATAGGTGAAAGTGCAGCTTCAGTTGCAGTTAAGACCCTGGGATTGAAGGGGTCATGGAGGCTTTGCACCCAGAGAGGCAAAAAGAGTCCATTGGTGAAGGTATAGCCTCTGTTTCAGTGGAGACCCCAACTTTTTGGAGATGCCGGGACCATGGGACAACCAACAAGGACCACAGTAGGTGTGGAATGGAGCTGATCTGGGTCTGCGAGACAAGCTGTTTGTGCTGTGGATGGCAGAGTCAGAGAAGTGGAGCTGCCAGAACCCTTTGGAGGCCAGAAGATCATGAATGAATCCCAGATGTCCAGTCTTGAGCTACTTTGCTGGACTTGGGTTTTGCTTAGGTGTCTGATTCTTCCCTTTGAAATAAGACAGTACTTGTTTTGGATTTTACAGAAGCCCACAGTTAAGAGACTTTAAAAAGAGACTATGAACTATGGAGTGCTTGGATTTTTTTAAGGACTGTGGGGTTTTGAGGGTTATACTGTCTTGTGTTGTGATATTAATGTTGTGTCTTGGGGACAAGAATTAGAAAGGTTATGATTTAATAGTGATATATTTGTGTGCCAAGTTGATAAGAGGTCAATTGTGCTGGATAGCTTTGGTGTCAACTTGAACACCTGGGTTGAGGGAGCCTCAATTGGAGAATTGCCTCTATTGGACTGGCCTGTGGCCATGTCTGTGGGGCATTTTCTTGATTGTTGAGTGATGTGCGAGGGCCCAGCCCACTGTGGGTAGTGCCACCCCTGGGCAGTTGGGCCTGTGTTGGATAGAGAGCAGGTTGAGCAGGGACCAGGGGATCAAGCCAGTAAGCAATGTTCCTCCATGGCCTGTGCTACAGCTTCTGCCTCCAGGTTCCTGCCCTGAGTTCCTACCTTGGGCTCCCTGATAAACTGTGACCTGGGAGATGTAAGCTGAATAAACCCTTTCCTCCCCAAGTTGGTAGTGGTCAGAATGTTTTGTCACAGCACTGGAGAAACAAACTAGGACAGGCAGAAACCAGAAAGGAATGAGCAGGAGAGCTAGCTATACTTGAAGGAGACTGATTTGACACAATCTTCTCAGAGCAAAGAACAATGATGAAGAGAAAGGAAGAAATCTAAGAGAGG